TTCCATCTCTGTCACTGCCAGTCTGCCAATAAAGATATCATTATACTATTAATGTGCTCCATCCTCACCTGAAGTTTGCTTAACAACAACAAAAAAAACCCTCCACCATTATCTTGGTATAGCTTTGTGTGCTGTGCTATTTACAAGCTACTTATGGATCTTTGGGCGCCTCTTCTCTCATTCAATAAATTAATTCATTTCCTTTGAGGAATTCTAAGAAAGTCAGGTAGAAATAAGGCTGAAACCAGTTTTAGACCCTTAGACATAGCCCTTGAAGCCAGTTAGACCACTGGTGATGATAAGTGACTAATAGCAAATTTTAAAAAAATCACTGCGTCTCAGCTGAGACAGGGTAACAGACCGTCTTTGTTATCCCAGTCTACTGCAATGAAAAGTACAATAGATTGGTTTAACTGCCATTTTGCAATTAACTAACCACACATTTAGAAACAGAGCAGCTGCACTACTTACATTAATCATTAAATATAAAAACATTAAAAAGTATGGTAGTGATGTAAAGAGAGAGAGTTAAACAATAGAAGTCACCAAATTAATTATAGAAGTATCAGAGAAACTCCCATGATCCCATTTTTTCCACTGTAACCTCAAACTCAGAACTTCTCCGGTTCCAGCGTTGGCAACACATGAACGTTCGTTTGTTTTGAATGAGGAGCTGTGTAATGCGCAGCCATTTTACTTGCCAGAAAGAATAGTTGATTCTGGAGCCCTAGAAGAACAATGTAGATGCTCTTGCCAGCATGGTAACAGGAGAATAACAATTCATCAAGATTTGGTACCTTATGACTCATGACCAAAGGTCATAAACAGCAAACAGCTATTGTCAGGCAAGCCCACGCTCATTATGGGCCTGCCTCACCTTGCACACACAAGACGCAATTGTATTTCTTAGGCTGACTGGAAATGACTAATGCTAATCCTGTTCTCAAAAACTAGTTATTTTTATCTTCCACCTGTTTCCCTGTTTTGCCAAGATTAAAAAGAAAAACGTGTTTGCTTTCTGTGATGGAAGGAAAAAACTGAACCACTCTATGTGGGGATCTAGTCACTCCTCCACACTGCATCTCCTAGTTAAACATTAACTCTCAGCTTACATGCACGCCTGTGGCTGGTTGCTTTGGAAACTCACCCCTTGTGACTAACGTGAAAGCAGACGAGCCTTTGATCCCTGCCCAGTGGGCTCCTTGCCAGCCAGCAGGGCTTCGCTGCTCAGATCAGGAAGGCAAGTCAGATTCCTTCCGCCAGCATGGGCGGTCAAGTCTCTGTAATTAATAAATTAGTGGCAGCGCCAGTGATATGGATGGAGTTTCCCTGCTCTGAGAGGAGAATTAGGTCACAATCTTTGAACCAAACGAACCAAAGCTTTTAACGACGCTGCTGAAAGCACTGATCTGTCTAATTCTTGACTGCATTAACAGCGTTATAAACCGGTATCAGGGGCTTCAGGAGGTGGCGGGAGACAGCGGGGTGTCTCAGCAGCTCCCGGAGGAAAGGCTCCGGATGGAGTTTCCCTGCTCTGAGAGGAGAATTAGGTCACAATCTTTGAACCAAACGAACCAAAGCTTTTAACGACGCTGCTGAAAGCACTGATCTGTCTAATTCTTGACTGCATTAACAGCGTTATAAACCGGTATCAGGGGCTTCAGGAGGTGGCGGGAGACAGCGGGGTGTCTCAGCAGCTCCCGGAGGAAAGGCTCCCCCTTGGGACCAGGCTTCGCAGACGGCCGTTTCCCTCATAGCAGC